TTTGTCTTCTGTTTTAGGGTTGAGACAGATTGGGAGAAGTCAAGTGGGTGGCATATAGGAAATAGGTGAGGGCAAGCAGAGGTAAATCTGGAAACTTTAGCCCGATCCTCAGTCTTGGCCACACAGGGCTCTGCACATCTCCCTCCCACCTCGACATACTGTACTGAATCATGGGATCATGTCCACCTTCCAATTTAGTCCAGAGGTTGGCACTTTTTCTACAAAGAACCAGATCATAAATATCTTGGGTGCTGGGGGCCATGCCCTCTCTGTTGCAACCATTCAACTCTGCTGTTACAGCATAAAAGCAGCCCTAGACAATAAGTAAACAAATGGGCAGGTTTGTGTTCTAATAAAACTTTATTTACAAAAACAGGTTGTGGGCCAGATTTGGCCCGTGGTCTGTCATTTGCCAACCACTGATTTAGACCATAAGTAGGAATCATGTTTGTTTTACCCTCATGTCTCCTTGTCTACAACTTATTGGCACATAGTAGGGGTTGCCTCAGGAAATATTTCCTGAATGATACTGAAGGTCATTTTCCAGAGAATTTCAGAATTCCAGAGAATTTCTATATATTGTTTAACTGTTTTTCTATGTTGGACACTTAAAATGTTTCTGATTTTTTTTAATTGATAATAACAACTGTGATGAGCTGCTTCCTACAGAAATCATTGGCCTGCTTTCTTATCACTTCCTTAGTATAAATTCGTAGAAGAATTGGGGTCAAACAGTATATATTACGAAATGGCTTTCCAGGAAGGTAGTATTGATGTACATTCCTAATAGTAATAAGAGAGAGATATTTATCCTTATGCAAAGGACTTCTTACAACAGAATGTCATGAATAAAAGTTCTGGCATCTGTATGTATTCCCACAAATTAGCTTACTACAAATAAAAGTAAATTGGTGTTAGCTACTTATCATTTTAATAATAACATTCCCCCACCCTGTTGTGACAGCACAATTATTAAGACACATCTTGTTACCTGTCTGCGTCATCTAGCCAACCAGTTGGGGTTGCCATATCTGGTGTGTTTACTGAGCACATACAGAAACATCTGCTTCCCATCAGGGAATCAGAAGCTGTACTATCTGCAGGCCTGGCACCGGCCTACCCTGCCAGGACGTATGGAGGCCTCCTCCCAGTGAAATCCACCACCAGACACATCATGCGGTTGGCTCATCTCCCTCAGGAAATTTTATTTAGGTTAATTTGGCGCACAATTGGGGGTAATTCTTGAGCAATTTCACTTGTGATGGCTTGCAACGTGTAAAATTCTCCTACAACATGTTGTAGAAATCACTGGAAGAATACTAAGGATGTCTGATAGTTGTCCAGTTGCCTTTGTAACAGCAGGAAATATCTCTTTGGAACCGCAGTACATGGTTAAAAAAAAATAAAAATGAAATAAAGGTAGATCGAGGAGCAGATGTTCATCCTGTCCCTTTTCACTTGGTGCTGTTGGAGCAGTGAGGGTGAAGGGGTCATGCAACGTCCCTTATCTTTATGGGGAAAGGTGACTTTTTTTCTTAGCTCTTTGGATTTTTCTGACTTTCTCCAAATGAAGAAGAGAATGTCTGCAACTGGGAGGTACTAGGGAGTGTTCTAGAAATAGGAGTGGGTCTGTGGTTACGTGATGGTAGAATTTACTTGAAAATGGATAGGTTACTGATGAAATCTAGTATAGGAAGACAATAAATAACAAAACCCCATGTTTTCTGAGAAATCCCCCTATTCTGGCATTTTGCTAGGTGCCTTCTATGTTTACCTCATTAGATCCCCCAGCATTGCTGTGAGACAGACACATATCATCCCCAGCAACAAAACACCGAAGGCTCAGGATGGCTAATTAACGCATCCAAAGATTAACACTGCGAAGTGGCCGAGCCAGCACAAAACCTGGGTCCAGCAGACCCGAGTGCCCACTTGAAGCCCCTACAGATGGCACTTGGGTGGCACCTCTGAGTTTGGAGACACAGACCAGCATTTTTAAGTCATCCCCATCAGAGACCAACTGACCAGCTTCCTAAGGTGCAAGCCAGAATTCCGGCCTGATTCATTTTTGGGTGTTGTCCCCAAAGGTCTGGATGGTGGTGGAGATGTCTTCCGCACTGACCCCAGAAGGAAGCTACCATCCAGCCCCAAGGAAACAGGATGTCACCTTAGTTCTTGGCCGCACTTGTGAGGCTGCAGGCTTCACGGAAGCCAACCTCCAGGCCATCAGGACGTCAGTCAGGAAAAACTGCTACAATCTTCCCTCCCTATGTCTCGATTCCTCCAGAGAGGCCATGCTACTCAGGAAACCCGGCGTGTGGGGTAGCCTTCATGGAACTGTGCAGAGCATTTTAATATAATATCTGTTTCACAAGATTAAATGACATTTAGCCTAGCTGTGGTTGTCGGACACCAACCTTATGATCATCCCATTCTCATTGGGCTGGGGGCTAAGGATTCGTGGGATGTCCGTCCTCATCTTCGAGGGCTCTCATTTATCCTTGAAATACCCCCGACACTCTTTAGATGAGAGAGACTCACTAGTTTATCTGTTCTCCCCACTCTGGGACCCTCTCCACAACAGTCAAAGCTATCACCTGGAAAACAAATCCGAGCACGGCCCTTGCTTTTTTGAGACATCCAGTGGTTATTGCTGATGCCGTCAGATAAAATTCTCATTCTTCATTGTGGAAACCAAGATTCTTAAACACTTCAGCTGAGTTCTCCAGCCTGATTTCATCCCTCCCAGCAACCCTACACTGGAGCCAAGTCATTCCGCGAACATGCTTTCCTACTTCCTGTGTGTTCATTCCTACCTCACGCTTTGTGCACAGCGTTCCCTTTACTGGAGTGCCCCATGAGGATGAGCTCGGTCTGGGACAAACTGAGTCCACGGGTAGCAGGAATGCAAAGGAAGGAGGGTGAGGCTTTGCTAGACAGGAAGCGGACTGTGTGCCGACCCACTTTTCTCTCCATCTGCCCCATCAGGGACAATCAGAGGCCTGTCCTTAATTTGGTGAGACCTGTGGTATTTTGTTTATTTCTTGGCTTTCTTTCAAAGCCAAGGAGAACCCAAGGGGTCAGGGATGGAAATCATGCATGGAAAACATTTTCCTTATTTTTCTACTAAAATGTGCATGGAGCAGGGGCAAGAAATAGTTGAGGGAGGAGAAATACATAGCAAACATGGCATTTTGAAAGGTTAATTGGATGTGGGTGAACATACTGAGATGATGTTCTGTTACTGTCAGAAATAATGTTTTACAGAGAAGCTATTTGTGAAGAGACCAGTTATTATTGAGGAACTAAAGTGCCTTCAGGAATATGGAAGTAATAATGTACAAGTATAGTAATAATGTACAAGTATAGTGCCTACAGAAAGATGTCAGTCAAGTGTGAGGTTGGAGGGGAAAGCCTGAACCCCCTCTGATTTGACCCTGCATATAGGATTTGACCTGTCAGGCCCACAGAAACAGACCCAAGGATATTTCACAAAACCAAAAGTGGAGTTTGAATGGTTTGTTGACCACTTTGCCCCCTGAGATGTGGTCTGATGATTACTCTTAGAATTCGAGAACCAACACAAGCCTGTGATTCAGCAAACACATGTCTCAAGTTTTAGAATCCCATTCTGACTTCAAGTGTCATTCCCGATCCCCAGAACCCAGTGAACTGATCCTGTCATCTCAGTACTTCATTGTCCAAGCTGTCGTCAGCTCCCTTCCATTTGCCCGTAGAAACGTGACGGAATTCTTTACTCAGACCACACGTCCAAATTTTAGGTTCAGAAAGCATGATCGTGAGCCCTATGGAATCAGCTCCAGAAGTGGGAAAGGATGGCATAAAGATAATGATCTTGCACTTTGTTCCAAGGTTTAATTTTTTTTTTTTTCATGCAAAAAAAATTATACCAACAGAAAACATGAACAGGGAGGGGAATGATAAAGCTAAAAGGTCTTAGAATGAGTAATGGGAAGAATCTTTTTTGTAGGAAGTTCAGGAAGGTCAGTGGAGTTCCTTTAAATGCTGATAGGCCTGTCTGAACAAGGATCACCCCTTTATTTATTTATATGTGGATCATCTGGCCATTGCCTGCCTTCCCCCTTTACCCCTGGGAAAAATGCATTGGGGGTGCCAAGGAAAATACTGCTGCTCCTGCCTCTTCAGAGCTCCAGTGACCAGTGGAGAACCAGATCTCAACAAATTTGTTTTAATTTCCTAAGACACTGGGCCTGTGAGTACCACTTCTGAGGATCCTTTGCTAAGTGTTTATACAGTCTGTCATTTAGAACAGAGGACTTGGGGACAAATCCCAATTGTAGATACAGTACTTACCATGGTCCCAAAGAACTTTATATAAAAATCCCAGATGGGGGGCACCTGGGTGGCTCAGTCAGTTAAGCATCTGCCTTTGGCTCAGGTCATGATCTGAGGGTCCCAGTAATGAGCCCTGAGTTGGGTTCCCCGCTCCGTGGGGAGTCTGCTTCTCCCTCTGCCACTCCCCCCGCTCATGCTCTCTCTCAAATATGTAAATAAAATCTTAAAAAAAAAAAAAAAATCCCAGATGGTCTCTTCTCTGAGTCCAACAAGGGGGATGGATTTTCAGGATAAATTCACTGTCCAGCCAGTGTAAACAAGTGACTGGTCCCCACCGTCTCCTTATTCCTTCTCTCTCCATTATTTTTCTCCTTATCATTTGCCACCCCCAAGCATACTGTTTGATTTACATGTCGTGTTTTACTGTCTGTGGCCTCCCCTCTGCTCCCAGAGTGTACATATCCCACATACCTTGAGAAGAAGTTCCTTACCCAGAGTGGGTGCTTTGTGACTCTCTGTCAAGTGAGGGAAGAATGCACTTGGACACCACAGGAGCTGAATGGGGGGCAGGAGGGAGGTCAGTTCAAGACCCACCAATAGATCTTCCATTCCCTCCTCTCTCCGTCTCCCCCCATGCTCCTGTGATGTGCTCCAAGAGTCTTTTGTTTTCCACCTCTCTGCAGAGCATTGGCTGTGACGACTACCTGGGCTCAGACAAGGTGGTGGACAAATGCGGGGTGTGCGGCGGCGACAACACAGGCTGTCAGGTTGTGTCGGGCGTGTTCAAGCATGCCCTTACCAGCCTGGGCTACCACCGCGTGGTCGAGATCCCCCAAGGAGCCACCAAAATCAACATCACCGAGATGCACAAGAGCAACAACTATTTGGGTAAGCTTGGTCTTTTTCCAGAGGGAACAGTCTGTCACACTCAGGTGATTCATTCCTTCCCAGGAGTGTGACACAGCGGTGTCCAGATGTCCTTGGACTTGGATAAGGTGCCACTGGAGAATGCCAAAGCACCGTTTGGCCTCCTCCTTAACATGAGAAACGTGGGTGGAGGAAAGTTTTGAAGTCCTTGCAAATAAATATTTGATATCTACACATTTAAGCCAGCCTTTGTTCCTTCCAAGAAAAACATGGTTATGCACTAGATACTGGGCTGAATGGTTTCTCTGAGATGGGGGAGGCTCTTTGAGCTGCTGTACAGGCCAGTCTTCATTCTGCTGGAATTCGAACAGGGCCAGTCAGTGATCCTGTCTGGAGCTTCATTCCCTACAGGTCTGAAGTAAAAACCATGTTTCTCTTCTTTCTGCTTCATCTTCCCTGGGGCAATGATATATGTGTTGAGTATATGTATATCTTCTGAACAACTGCAGACCTTTTGGGTAATATCATCGACATCGAGAGGCCATTTTTACCCATCTTCCCACAAAGAGTTAGATCTTTGTTGATCCTTCCTTCTGGGTTGCTGGCTGATTGCATTTTATGCAGAGCAAATCGGGTCATAAGAATTGATTTTGACCAATTTTTAATTCACATGAGCATGCACAGATGAGTTAACAAAATAATATAAGGAAAGCAATTTCTTCAAGTCATTTAGTGAAAATCCTTATTCATTTTCATTTTTAATGATTTTTTAAAATTTTTATTAACATATAATGTATTATTAGCCCCAGGGGTACAGATTTGTGAATCACCAGGTTTACACACTTCACAGCACTCACCATAGCACATACCCTCTCCAATGTCCATAACCCCACCACCCTCTCCCTACCCCCCCACAACCCTCAGTTTGTTTTGTGAGATTAAGAGTCTCTTATGGTTTGTCTCCCTCCTGATCCCATCTTGTTTCATTTTTTCCTTTCCTACCCCCCAAACCCCCCACGTTGCCCATTGCCTCTCAAATTCTTCATATCAGGGAGAGCATATGATAATTGTATATGTATTTGTATATATGTATATGTACATATACATATATATATTTATGATGGAATACTATGTGCCGTTTGCAATGACGTGGATGGAACTAGAAGGTATTATGCTGAGCGAAATAAGTCAATCAAAGAAAGACAAAGATATATATATATATATATATATAGCACATCTTCTTTATCCATTCATCTGTTGATGGACATCTAGGTTCTTTCCATAGTTTGGCTATTGTGGACATTGCTGCTATAAACATTTGGGTCCATGTGCCCCTTCAGATCACTACATTTGTATCTTTAAGGTAAATACCCAGTAGTGCAATTGCTGGGTCATAGGGTAGCTCTATTTTCAACTTTTTGAGGAACCTCCATACTGTTTTCCAGAGTAACTGCACCAGCTTGCATTCCCACCAACATTGTAGGAGGGTTCCCCTTTCTCCACATCCTCGCCAGCATCTGTCGTTTCCTGACTTGTTAATTTTAGCCATTCTGACTGGTGTGAGGTGGTATCTCACTGTGGTTTTGATTTGTATTTCCCTGATGCCGGGTGATGTGGAGCATTTTTCATGCATCTCTTGGCCATCTGGATGTCTTCTTTGCAGAAATGTCTGTTCATGTCCTCTGCCCATTTCTTGATTGGATTATTTGTTCTTTGGGTGTTGAGTTTGATAAGTTATTTCTAGATTTTGGATACTAGCCCTTTATCTGATATGTCATTTGCAAATATCTTCTCCCATTCTGTCAGTTGTCTTTTGTTTTGTTGACTGTATCCTTTGCTGTGCAAAAGCTTTTGATCTGGATGAAGTCCCAATAGTTCATTTTTGCCCTTGCTTCACTTGTCTTTGGCCATGTTTCTAGGAAGAAGTTGCTGTGGCTGAAGTCGAAGAGGTTGCTGTCTGTGATCCCTTCAATGATTTTAATGGATTCCTGTCTCACATTGAGGTCTTTCATCCATTGTGAGTCTATTTTTGTGTGTGGTGTAAGGAAATGGTCCACTTTCATTCTTTTGCATGTAGCTGTCCAATTTTCCCAACACCATTTGTTGAAGAGACTGTCTTTTTTCCACTGGACATTCTTTCCTGCTTTGTTGAAGATTAGTTGACCATAGAGTTGATGGTCTGTTTCTGGGCTCTCAATTCTGTTCCATTGATCTATGTGATTGTTTTTGTGCCGGTACCATACTGTCTTGATAATGACAGCTTTGTAATAGAACTTGAAGTCTGGATTGTGATGCCACCAACTTTGGCTTTCTTTTCCAACATTCCTCTGGCTATTTGAGGTCTTTTCTGGTTCCATATAAATTTTAGGATTATTTATTCCATTTCTTTGAAAAAAATGGATGGGATTTTGATAAGGATTGCATGAAACCTGTAGGTAGCTTTAGGTAGCATAGACATTTTCACAATATTTGTTCTTCCAATCCAGGAGCATGGAACATTTTTCCATTTCTTTGTGTCTTCCTCAATTTCTTTCATGAGTACTTTGTAGTTTTCTAAGTACAGATTCTTTGCCTCTTTGGTTAGGTTTCTTCCTAGGTATCTTATGGTTTTGGGGCGCAATTGTAAATGGGATGGATTCCTTATTTTCTCTTTCTTCTGTCTTGTTTTTGGTGTATGGATCGCTTTTCAGCCTTTTGGATAAGATCAAGTGTTGTTTTGGTGTATGGAAATGCAACTGATTTCTGTGCATTGATTTTATATTCTGACACTTTACTGAATTCATGTACAAGTTTTAGCAGATTTGGAGTGGAATCTTTTGGGTTTTCCACAGAAAGTATCATATCATCTGCAAAGAGTGATAGTTTGACTTCTTTGCCAATTTGGATGCCTTTAATTTCTTTTTGTTGTCTGATTGCTGAGGCTAGGACTTCTAGTACTATGTTGAGTAGCAGTGGTGATAATGGACATCCCTGCTGTGTTCCTGACCTTAGCAGAAAAGCTCTCAGTTTTTCTTCATTGAGAATGATAGTTGCTGTGGGTTTTTCATAGATGGCTTTGATGATATTGAGGTATGTACCCTCTATCCCTACACTTTGAAGAGTTTTGATCAGCAATGGATGCTGTACTTTGTCAAATGCTTTTTCAGCATCCATTGAGAGTATCATGTGGTTCTTGTTCTTTCTTGTATTAATGTATTGTATCACACTGATTGATTTGTGGATGTTGAACCAAACTTGCAGCCCTGGAATAAATCCCACTTGGTCGTGGTGAATAATCCTTTTAATGTACTGTTGGATCCTATTGGCTAGTATTTTGTTGAGAATTTTCACATCTGTGTTTATCTAGGATATTGGTCTGTAATTCTCTTTTTTGATGGGGTCTTTGTCTGGTTTTGGGATTAAGGTAATGCTGGCCTCATAACATGAGTTTGGAAGTCTTCCTTCCATTTCTATGTTTTGGAACAGTTTCAGGAGAATAGGAATTAATTCTTCTTTAAATGCATAGTAGAATTCCCCCTGGGAAGCCATCTGGCCTTGGGCTCTTTTGTTTGTTGGGAGATTTTTGATGACTGCTTCAATTTCCTTACTGGTTATGGGTCTGTTCAGGTTTTCTATTTCATCCTGGTTCAGTTGTGGTAGTTTATATGTCTCTAGGAAGGCATCCATTTCTTCCAAATTGTCAAATTTGCTGGCGTATAGTTGCTCATAACATGTTCTTATAATTGTTTGTATTTCTTTGGTGTTGGTTGTGATCTCTCCTCTTTCATTCATGATTTTATTGATTTGGGTCCTTTCTCTTTTCTTTTTGATGAGTTTGGCCAGGGGTTTATCAATCTTGTTAATTCTTTCAAAGAACCAGCTCCTAGTTTCATCGATTTGTTCTATTGTTTTTTTGGTTTCTATTTCAATGATTTCTGCTCTGATCTTTATTATTTCTCTTCTCCTGCTGGGTTTAGGCTTTCTTTGCTGTTCTTTCTCCAGCTCCTTTAGGTATAGGGTTAGGCTGTGTATTTGAGACCTTTCTTGTTTCTTGAGAAAGGCTTGTATTGCTATATATTTTCCTCTCAGGACTGCCTTTGCTGGGTCGCACAGATTTTGAACAGTTGTGTTTTCATTATTATTTTTTTCTATGAATTTTTTCAATTCTTCTTTAATTTCCTGGTTGACCCATTCATTCTTTAGTAGGATGCTCTTTAGCCTCCATGTATTTGAGTTCTTTCCAAATTTCCTCTTGTGATTGAGTTCTAGCTTTAGAGCATTGTGGTCTGAAAATATGCAGGGAATGATCCCAATCTTTTGGTTCCAGTTGAGATCTGATTTGTGACCAGGATGTGATCTATTCTGGAGAATGTTCCATGTGCACTAGAGAAGAATGTGTATTCTGTTGCTTTGGGATGGAATGTTCTGAATATATCTGTGATGTCCATGTTGTCCAGTGTGTCATTTAACGCTTTCATTTCCTTGTTGATCTTTTGCTTGGATGACCTGTCCATTTCAGTGAGGGGGTGTTAAAGTCCCCTATTATCATTGTATTATTGTCAATGTGTTACTTTGATTTTGTTAATTGGTTTTTGTAGTTGGCTCCTTCCATGTTAGGGGCATAGATATTTAAAATTGTTAGATCTTCTTGTTGGACAGACCCTTTGAGTATGATATAGTGTCCTTCCTCATCTCTTATTATAGTCTTTGGCTTAAAATCTAATTTATCTGATATAAAGATTGCCACCCCAGCTTTCTTTGAATGTCCATTAGCCTGGTAAATTGTTTTCCACCTCCTCACTTTAAATCTGGAGATGTCTTTGGGTTTAAAATGAGTTTCTTATAAACAGCATATTGATGTTTTTTTTTTTTTTAATTAGGGAAATTCTGTACAATAATTCACTCCAGTATACCTTCTGCCCCCTCTCTCTTTCTTGTTCTGGAATCCCAATTATTCTAATATTGTTTTGTCTTATGGTATCACTTATCTCTCAAATTCTCCCCTCGTGGTCCAGTAGTTGTCTCTCTTTTTCTCAGCTTCT